GACATCAACAACCTGTAGGAGTCACCTTCTCAGGTGGAGACATCATTGACTATGGTGGGTGCAGGTCTGTTGTGACATCCTTCAGGTAGCTTTTTGGATCTGGAGTGTTCTGAGTCAGGGCTCACACCTGGAAAGGGATCACATCTCTCCCCAGTATGTATATATGTATCAATATCCTGCATGTCATTGCACCATGAATTCCCATGTATATGGCATTATATTGAATCAACTACTCCTCTCACAAAATGAAGTCATCATCATCACCATGTTCATCATGTAAATATCCTTCTATCATATCATCTGCAAAGGCTGTTGTTGCTGTCCCAGGTGCCCTGTCAATGATAACCCATCTCCCTCATGTCTTGACTAGACCTACAACAGCTCTTAAGCTCCTGATATCCATAATTATCCTTGTTTTTCAAGACTCAAAGAACACAACCTCTTCTGAGGCTACCTTTCCATCTGTGTCCCATGGTCTAACAAGTGCAACAACAATGGTTTTGCCTCTGAGTTCTCCAAAGAGTGGTGTGGCAGGAAAAATGAGGGCTATTATTTTTTCTAGGTCACCATACCCAGTTTGGGTTAACACAAAACCTGTGTGGGTCTCAAACACTGTTTTGAACTATGGTATTTAGTAACTAGAGACATTACAAGTATCTGACCATGATGGACCTCTCTGACATAGCAATTCCTCTGCTCTAATGCACCAAATCTGTGTGACACTTCTTTAGTCTGAAATAAGTCTCCACCATGGCAGACCCTAAGCTTGCCTGCTGTAAACAGCACAAGCACTGGAAGCTGTTTCTTGATCTTTGAGCTTCATTTGCCAAGTACTTGTCCCAAGTATTGTGCAACTCTTTCATGGAGGTCACAATCAAGCTTGTGCGCCACCTCATAGGGAGGCTGAAGCACATGGTCTGGGTCTGGTCAGTTTGAGAATGAGTTTTGCATGTAAGTGACATCAGTGCATGCTCACAATCCTTGAGGACATGTTCATATCCTATTGGACCATCATCTTCATGCTTGTCTTCATTTGCAAGCTCATCCAAAAGGTCATATCGCATCCACAATTGTTCCAGGTATGTGCAATGAAGTAATGCTTTATTTAAATTACTCCAAGGGTGGCTGCATGAATGGAGTGTATTCTGGAGCATCCCACAAAAGCACTCCCTATGAAAGGTCCAAGTGGTCCACACCAACCCACAGCCTCAGATACCCTGTACAACATGTAAGATGCCATGGATCATGAGCATGCAAGCTGGCAGGCATTCAATGTCATACTGATAATAGTATCTATTGACAAAAGTTAGTGTTGTGATACAATTGAATCAGAAATGTGTATACCTCTCATATTTCTGCACCCAATCTATAACACATCTTTTGATATCATCAAGTTGTCTGTGTGGGGTGCAAAACTGTAAAGTAGCCTTCATGATTGCTGCTAGCTCACACATGTGCTTGTAGTATTTGTCTTTGGGAAAGTGCCCCTTCAGTAGCTTTGGGGCAAGATGCATGAACCAAAAACACCATGTCTCTGCCATAAAGAGTGAGCAGTCTGTTGCAATATTCATGAGCACACAGACAAATGTAGATGGTATGTGTCAGAGAGCAGCAGCAGTTTCTTTTCCAATCTCCTCCCAAATTTCAGTCACAATTGTGAAGTCTTCATTACCTGTACCAAGACCCTTGAATTGGCCCATCCAGAAGTCAACAAGGTTCAGGACAATGTTCTCCAAGAACAAATGAAACCATTCCCATGGGGATGATCATGCATAATCCAAGGACCTGACATGAGTCAGGCCTGGCAATCCTTTGATGCCAGTCTCCTTTGCAATCATCACCATCTCTTTTTTTGTTTTGGCCACTGCAATCCTTGCCATTGCATCTGAGAAGTCATCATGGTGTCATAAAGGGGCTGCTTGATAGAGGGTCCTTGCACTGCAGTTTTGAGACAGCAGGTGAAGAGGGATGTAATAGGTCTTGCCTAAGCCACAAACAGCTTTCACCTTGCATGAACAACAAGGGAAGATTGAGTTATGGCCCTTGAGATTTAAGAAGCACTCAATTGTGATGATATCACCAGATTTGACAATGATATATGCATGCATCTTGAAAAGGGCTTGCTGGGATGCATCAAAAGTCTGGATGCCATATGCTAGCTCAGCACATTCATTGTCCAGGGGAATGAGAAAAGAATGAAGGTCCTTGGGTTGGTGCAGGCCAGGAATAATTCTGATGCACAATAGGTTTTTGCTGTGAGTTCACACATGCAGAGGCAGGTTGTAGTTCTGCAACAGGAGTGGCATACTGGACAGGCCCCTGTGTCACTGCCTGAAGAGTAAATAGCTGTCAGTACAAAGGCCCAATGCAATGTCTTGGGAATCTGAGAAGTATTGGTGAGGTAACTCTTCTCCATCAACAATAACACAACAATGGAGAAGCCACTGGTAATGATTCCCATCAAATACATCTGCAATCTCTCCTCTCCCAATATCATAATCCACATGGTATGAGAGCATTTTGATCATCCTTGTGCTTTGGAAATACCCTTGCAGTTGTGGGATAAGTGGGAGATACATGAATTGTTGACATGGCCTTCCATACTGGTTGAATCGCACTTCTTGACAGAACAGACAAGACTGAAGATAAATATATTTTTCAGTGTAGGCCACACATGAATTTCTGCAGCAGTCAACCAAGAGGGGTTTGATCCCAGATAGTTTGGCCACACACTGAAAGATGACATATTGTGAGTTGAGGTTCATTTTGTGTTGGAAAGTGAATCACATCTGTGAGTATGCACATTGAGTGATTGGCCCATCATAAGGAGGTTAAATGTGCAGATATTGTCACAATCTTTGTCAGATAGAATATCATTCCCTGATGCATGAGCAGTTCATGCGTTAGAGCCAGGGCAACCAGGCATGTATGGAGAGTGAACAGATCTCATTCTCTTTCATTTCTCACATTGTCTTCCAACTCATTCAGCAGCTCATTATCATCTCCCTTCAGCTCTTCAGCCCATACCCATACATCATCTTGAATGTCACTTCCAGGGCCAGCCTCGGACTCAGACACCCCACTCACACCTGTTGTGTCCAATGACTCAGATGGAGATGCTGGGCAGGAATGACCACCTGAGATGATTACTTTAGTATCATTTAATGTTCAGCTTGTTGAGCTGACCTTCAGCCAGATCTAGTTGGGGGCTTTCTTTGCCTGTCAGGCTTTCAGAGTCATGCATGCCTGCCAGTTGCCCCATGGATGCAGCCTTCTTATAGTGATGCCACCGCTGTGTGCTGCTCAAGCACACACCACATCCTGGATTGCACCAACAACATTTCCTCCTTGGAGATCAAATTGGAGGCATGGTCAGTATGTTTGACTTAACTGACTGACTTAGCAACATGTACCAAGCTGTGATCACCTGACCTGAGCACAGCCACTCCAAGGTTGTTGCTTACATCCATTATCCTAAGTGCCATATCATCTCTGCCATCAAGCCTCCAGCCTCAATGACAATGCTGAAGCACAAGAAGCAGTCAAGGATCAATAAATTAGGAGAGTCATTATCAGAACTCCATGGGGATTTGGAAGTGCACAAATGTGAGTTCATTGATACCAACAGGTACCATTTGGATCTTATATCTCTTCCTGCAGGAAAGAACCATGCAAAAGAGGAGAGGAGGCAGAAAAAACAGCAAGATAAACATACTAACCAATGGTTAAGATTGATTAACAAGCCCAAGGGCTGAGCAGGTCAAGGCAGCAGCTACAAGCTAATAGATGCCTTGGGACTCACAGAGAAGAAGGACATGTACAATCACCTTTTGGTACATCTTCCATCCCTACTATTGTATTCTTATTACCTGTATGCTACTCAATAGGATGTTGTACAAAAATTGATCTACCACTACCTGGATACAAGTCATTTGCTTTCTCACCAAAGCAACAAGCTCCTTGTCAAGAAAGTCATTTGGAAGGTAAGGGAGTGCATTCTAAGTGCATATAGCCACTAATAACCAAGATTCACATTGTTAGGCCCAAGCAGAATCAGAAATCCTCATGTGGTGTGAGGGAGGCTGGGGTGCATGTGCTTTAATTGCCCAGGTATTGAAAAACTGGTCAACATCTGAACAAAGGCAAAAACAGAATGCTGAAGCAAGGGTTAGCAGTTACTTTTATCTATATTTTGATCTCGAGTTGATTCCCTGGTACATTTAGAGGAAGAGAGAAGAGTCTAATGACAAAGATGAGGAGGAAGTGGGTGCAGATGATGCTGGTGCTAACAGGCACATTAAATGTACTTCAGGTACACAGAAAAAGGTAGGCATGCATGTTCTACTATCACAAACTCACTCCATGTCATTCAGAGAAAGAGGGACAAGTCTGAGTCTGAGTCCAAGGAAGTGGACACAGATGATGCCAGCAATAACAGGCACATCAAATGTACTTCAGGTACACAGAAAAAGGTAGGCATGCATGTTCTACTATCATGAACTCACTTCATGTCACTTAGAGAAAGAGGTCCAAGTCCAAGTCCAAGTCTGAGTCTGAGTCCAAGGAAATGGACACAGGTGATGCCAGCAATAACAGGCACATCAAATGTACTTCAGATACACAGAAAAAGGTAGGCAACTGTGCATTCTACTATCATGAACTAACTATATGTCACTTAGAGAAAGAGAGACAATTCCCAGTCTGAGTCCAAGGAAATGTATGCAGACAATGCTGGTGCTAGTAACAGGCACAGCAAACATGCTCTGGGTACACAGAGAAAGGTAGGTGAACAAACATCTACTATCTTGAGCTCACTCTGTGTCATTTAGATGGAGAGGGATGAAGACAATGATGAAGATGAAGATGAGAGGAGTGTCTACCCAAAACACATGGAAGCCAGACAGAAAATGGTGAGGAAGTAAGCTGTATGTGATTGCAACTGATGCCTGAACATTTTTCAGAGAAAGTCAATTGTTAGCGATGATGACATACAGCCCAACATGCATGCCAAGGGTGATAAGGGTCACCAATACCTGGGTGGTACTCAGAAGAATGTGAGCAAGTATATTGAGCTGTAGTCACAAGCTGATGTTCACAATGCAATGTGCAGTTTAGAGAAAGAGAAATGAGCTGGTGAATGAATCAATTGACAACCAGCAATCATGCATACTACAAGCAGCAAATGGCATGCTGGGAATGGGATGACAGGTATGGTCTGGAAAGTCATTCACTCTGTGCATTCACACTCTTTCAGGAATGTATCAGCAATGGGTTGCACACTCCAAGACCACTCACATCAGTATGGGAGCAAGCCAATGAAGCAGAGGTGCCAGTGGCCTCTGAATGTCATGTATGTGTGCCTTCAAAACTTCACATTCTGTTTTTGTGCTCTCATACTCACTCAGGATGGGTCACAGAAGAAGAAAAGGGATGACATGTCCCTTGGACTACAAGTGAGTTGTAGATGTACTTATCATGTATGCCAGCCAGCATTCTCATGTAGTTCATGCAGGACTTGACTGACAAGGAGGACAATGCAGAAACACAGTCATCTGTGATCATGCAAGATGACTTCCCACCAGGATGTCCAGGCATATATTGCAAGGACAAGGTCCCATCCAGAATGTCTCAAGATCTTTTCACAGCATTACAAAGATATGTTTCCATGACCTGAAAACAGCATGGGCATAACTTTGAGACAGTCCAATTAGGAGCTCAGATCTGCACCATGATCAAAAGGGAGTATAGGAAATATGAACAACTCAAGATTGCAGTGAAAAAAGGTTGGCCCATTAGCATGATTGACTTCAAGCAGATTCCAAGGCATATCATCAAGTGGCAAGACCAGCTAGATCTGATTCTTTGTAACAGGAGCCTCCACAAGCAGCAGCATGTCTGGAAGTGTTTCGAGGCTGACTTGGTTGAAGATGGGTGGATGTTGGAAAAGCTAGCTTGCATGTGGAACTCAGCACTGTGTTCCAGATCAGCGATTCTGGACCATTTACATTCTGGATAGTATGTCCCTAACATGCAACTCACTTCTTCAACTGTGCAGAAACTGATGTAAACACTGAGCAGTTATGGTGACAAGGGAGCTGCAATCATCAAGCACACCCTCATTGCCCTGTTCCCAGCATCAGCAGAGTTGACTGCAGCAATATGGCCTCTGCTGCTTGCACAATTCACGACATACTTTATGGTGCCCTACATAGCAACCTTGCTGATCACAGATGATTACAGTCCTACAACAGTTGTCAAGGCACACAAGATTATGGTTGCAAGTAGCAATGTGGGTTCCCTCATCCACCCCACAAATGATGACAATGCAGAGTTGGAGGAGATATTTCATAGAAACATTGTCACCTTTTGACTAAAGTGACTGGAGGTCCTGACATGTGAAGTGACAAGTGATACATGGGATGTCACTCAGGCTCTGCTAGAACTCCAAGGGCAAATGCAGAAGGCATCTCCTACTCCATCATCCTGTGTAGGCTGTGCCTTGACTGACACCATTCACCTTAGCCATGACCTCACCTCAGAGTTAAATTACTTGTGACAGATGATGATTCCAATCAAGCTGCCAACAAGTTACATTCAGAGCAGGCAAAGGTTAACATTCACTACACACTTTATCCCACTAACATTGCACCTTACTGACACTACTAACTTTACAGACCATGATGGTCATGCCAAGCAGCAAGTCCTAATCAACAGTGCTGCCAGTGGCCACTGCATGTGTACTACCTTTGATGCTTCCAATGTGTTATACTGATATAGATATCACCACTTACACAGGTCCAGCAGCATGCCCCAAATGCAAGCATAGGTCAAACTGCCAGACTCATGACATCAGTGAGTATAAGGCAATTCAGTTGTCATACCCCCATCACCATCCTTTCTGCACTTGTGACTCATGTGTGGTCAAATGCACAGGAACACACTAGGGCAAATCGCACTACTTGATCAAAGACTCAGCAAGGCCAACCATGACAGAACATTCACAACTAGGTTGGGCCTTGTCAATCCACTCTCATTTCCTTTTAGCTAACTTATTTGGACACTTTCAAGACCATTTACACACTTTCATCAGAACTCAATGCCACCTCACACCTCTTGGACTTCTACACACCCAGCTATGTGTATTGTTGATTCCCCAGCTGCACTGTTTATGCACTTTCATCAGAACTCACTGCCACCTTGCACCTCTTGGACTTCTATGCACCCAGCTATGTGTATTGTTGATTCCCCAGCCATGCTGTTTATGCACTTTCATCAGAACTCACTTCTGCCTTGTGCTACTTGGACTTCTATGCACCCAGTAATCTGTATTGTCAATTCCCTAGCAGCACTTAATGTCAATGTGCTGTCTAATCAATGTTAATTTTGCAAGTGAAATGGTACTTTTGTGACTGATGATAAGTGCACTCTTGACTGAAAATCGGTGCCATTGTGAGTGAATATCAGTGCCTTCTTCAATGGAAATTTCCGGAAAATAAGTGCCTAACATGACTGGAAATCAGTACCATTTTGACACTGAAAAAACACGTCAACGACATTGATGCATGGCACTAGTTATTAGTAGCAAAAATGAAATATCAGTGCCACAATTTGGCACTGATTTTCATCGCGTGGAACTGATATCTGGTGCTTTTGGGACTATTATACAGTACATGCGGCACTTGTTTTCAGTGCGTTTACTTCCCTCGGTGGAAGGCGCGGGAAAAAGCGTTCCGGGAGTCTACGATCTTGCAGGCCTGGCGAAAATCTGGCATCCGGCCATTGGATCCTGATATTTTCTCTGCTGAAGATTACGCACCTAGCATTCCAACCTCAACAACTGCCGAGTTGCCCCCATCATTTCCATCCTGTCACGACCTTCCATCAGACTGGGCTATTCCATCATCTGATGACCTTGACTACATTCCAGATTCCCAGCTGTCATCCCCATCTACCCACATGCCGCCTGATGACTTCGATAACCAGCTCTCTGATGTACCCTCGGATGCATCATCGGATACATCAATGGAGTCTCTGTACAATATTTCAGAGTCAGATGCTGATATCAATGCCGCAGGTCCCAGCCAGAGTACAGACCCTCTAGCCAGGCTGTACAAGCCTTTGCGGCCTGCATACACTGAATCCCCATGTCCACCAACCTTCGAGCAGTAGCAACTGGCAGCCTCGTCTTCATATCTAGGACCCACATCCCCTTGTCGCACCCGTTCAATGGGTTACAGCACCCCAGCCTCGCGTTCCATGACCCCTGCAAGCACAGCCATATCAAGTCATTCTGGAACAGGTCAAACGGCACAGCTTCAGGAGGAAAACGAGCGGCTTCGTGCTCAACTCGAGGTCACACAGTGGGAGCGTGACAACGCTCTTGGTCATGCCATCATGCTACGTGTTGAATACAACAGTTTGAAGAAGAAACTGAATGCTAAGGAGGAACGTGCTAAACGTAAGGGCTGCAGCATCCGGCAACATGGCCTCATGACAAGTGCCGAGTCTCGACAGAGAATTGCAGAGGAGGACGCAAGGAAAGCAGCTAAGAAGCAACAAACCGAGGCTGCGCAATCACGTAGGCGGGAAAAGGAAGCGGCTGTGCAAGTGCGACGAGATGCGATGGCACTGAGGTTTACAGAGGCAGTCTCAACACGAAAACAAAGACAGAACTTGAGACCATTGCCCTAGCACTCGGCTTCCCCAGTCAAACATCATTGGCATGAAAGCAACCTTGCTTTCCATGATCTGCACACATCTGAAGGATAACCCCAAACTGCAGAATGATGGTCGATTTTCTGGCCTCTTTCCTCCACGTTCTCGTGTAGCAAACTCTGAGTCTGGACCTCTGGTGCCTGGTATGTTCTGTGCCCTTCCATACTCCGAGTCATTGACTCAACTGCAACTTATTATTTTAGATGCTTCCCTTGAACGTTCAATGCAACCCGCATCAGCATTCCCTCCATTGGAAACTCCCTCCTGTGTCCATCCGAATCAACTGGCTGGCTCATCATCCTCTGCCAGGCATCATGGTTACCCGCACACTGAATCAGCCTATGTTCCAGAACTAGTTGGTAACACAGCGGGCTACTTGGCATACCCATCAACGTCAAATGGTGCCAATGAACAGCATCAGAGCTCGACGTCGCGCCTTAGTAGTTATAATGGTTCCGTAGATTATTTACCATAGCTCTCAAGCAATTGTCGTTGTGCGTCTTGCTTGTGCACCGTGCTCGCTGCGGAATTTAATTTGTGTGCGCCGAGAGGCCTGCCGCGCGTGACACAGCGTGACAAAATTGTGCATTACCTATACTTTTTGACCTGTCATTTTCGGGGCTCACTTATACATGCATTTTAGCGTATTTTATTCTTTTTTTTGCACAGGCTTGTAGCCAAGACCTGTATCTATTAGATCATCCAAGACCGAGTACAAGAAATGTTGTTGTTGTGTAGTTATTCCAAGTTTTGTAAAAATTGTGCATTACCTGTCGCATGATAGTAGTTACTGAGACTAGTGTAGATGCCGGTTACCTCCGGTAGCAAACGTCCATCCGAGCGACAAGCCTGAAGCACTGCCACCCTGCCTTTCTGCATCAGACGAACACCCCCCAACAGACCGTCGCTGCTCCCACTCCAGCTCCTCGCCCAATTGTCATTCCTTTCACCCACCCACCACGCCCTCTTCTTCACACTATAGCCACAGCCATAGATTAGCCCAGCCACCGTTCTAATCTTAGCCCAATAATTACATACTATTCGAAATGCTACTGCTATGCCTACGCAGTCCTGTCAGAGCGAGCAGGTGACCCGCCCTCCCGAGCGGCTCCGCCTGCCTCGCCTCCGCCGAGCTAACGCTCGGCCCAGCCCAACCACTGACAGGACAGATCTTAGCGAAATGCGTGAGACGAGGATGGAATGGAGCCCTTGCCCTGTGGCTGTGCTGTATGTTCCCACGCCCGTCACAGAAATCTTTTGTTTTGTGTTCCATTTCCTTGCATCCACGCATTCCGACCCCGATGGCAAAGAAAAAGAGCAAGCAAGTAAGTCAAAACCGACACCGATCAACCCGATAATAAAACATCCTACTTAACGAAATATCCAGGTTCTTCGTCCGTGGTGTTGGTACTGCGAGCGTGAGTTTGAAGATGAAAAAGGTCAGCCTATTCGTCCGGCGTCTGCTGTGTGCCGCTCACTGACGCCTTCCAGTCCTCATGCAACATCAAAAGGCGAAACACTTCAAGTGTGGCATGTGTCCTCGCCGTCTGAATACTGCCGGTGGTCTTGCAGTTCACATTCAGCAAGTGCACAAACTCGAACCAGAGAAGTGCGCAGTCGTGTTCCTATCTATCCTTCCATCTTACTGATCCGCCTCAGCCTGCCTCGAATCGAGAACGCATTGCCCGGTCGGGACGGCTATGAAGTGGAAATCTTTGGTATGGAATATTCCTGCACCTGACGTCGCAGACTCTAAACGCCGTAAGGAAATCGAACTTGGCCTCGCTGCGGGTTCCATTTCCCAACCCCAACCAAAGCGTCCCGAGATCGACAACCGACCTCTTTCGGAGGATGAGCTGCGTGCCCAGTTGGAAGCCCGATGTACCGGCTGCTGCTCCTGCTCCAGAGGCAACCGCTGCAGTTTACAATGCCGCTCCGACCGCATATGCTGTACCACCTGCTCCTACTCCTGGCATCACCCCTCTAGGTACATCGCCGCCTCCTGGGCTTCCCGGCATTTCTCCGCCACCGTTCATGCCCGGTGTTCTCCCTCCAGGACCGTTCCCAGGTGTCCCTCCAATGGCTTCCCCATTCCCCGGCATGCCCGGATTTCCTCCCGGGTATGTCTTGTCATGTGGCTTTTACTGTTGTTCATAGCTAATTCTACTTTCCAGTCCTCCACCCCCTGGTTTCCCTATGCCGCCTCCTGGTCTGCTCCACCACCTGGAATGCTTCCCCCAGGTGCACCACCATTCCCCCCTAGGGTTTCCCGTCCGCCTCTTCCGCCGCCCACCTTCGTGCCTGCGAGCTCACCCTCGCCAGTCGCGTCTATGAATGGGACGCCTGCTTCAGCTCCACCTCCAGGACTTGTGCCTCCCGCAGCCACAGCACCACAGCCACCGGCGGTGTCTCTTCCACCGCCACTTGTACTTCCTAATCCTGCTCTCGAGCAGAAGTATGGACCTTTCAAGAAGACCGACTTGAAATATGCAGATCCTAATTTCTCTCCTGTATGTACTGCGTTTTTCACTCTCACTTCGTCTGCTTTGGCCATGGCTCGCTCACGGGTGCACCCTTTTTTTGTGCTCACAGGAGGAGAAGCGTGGACGCACTGCGAAGTACTACTTTGCCAGCGATGCAACGAATACCACACCATCGCAAGATCAAATGGCCAGTGGCACAGAAGAATTTCGCGGGAAGAAACGTGCACGCGCGGAGGATTTCCTCTAACTGTGTACGTGCATACATACGCTTACCGACGAAAGTGGAGTGGGAGAGGTGGTGTTTGGTCAATCTTGTTTCGTTGTGATGGGTCACTTTGTGCGGGTCTCCTCGTTATCTTTCGTTTTATCTTTCCAGCTAGGGCCGGTCTGTTGCAACGGGCGGTAATCGTGGGTGTCGGGAACGGTAACGGTATGGGGAAAAAGAGTCGGTCGGTGGAAGTTGGACGATGAATACCAGCGACGGTGGAGAAAGACTTATCAGTCCGTCCCATCCACCTACTTCTTCACCACGCGAGCTTCCACACTCATGGTTTCTTTTCCTCTATCATATATTCCACCCGTCTCCCATCCCCTCATGCTGTGCGAGACATCCAACGTACTTTGCGCTGGAAGTTGGTAAAGTGGCGGATGTTCTTGGGGATCGTGGTTCCCGGTGCGGTGCCTGTCTTTGTTTTGTTGTCTTGACCATACTCCCTTCTCCCTTCCCTTCCGTCATCCCCTACACAAACTCTCGCAACCCCCCTCTCATCCTGCATTATCCCCCTGCGGTATCGTAACAATTGTACGAATGGACAGATTGGAAAAAGGTTTGTCTACATATACGGTCGGTCTTTTTTTCCCGTCCAATCACGCTTCCTACTTCACCTATATGTTTTTCTCTGCTTTTTCCACTTTGAAATCGTAAGTTACGTGCAGATGGATGCGAACGAGGTAAAGGTTGGTGTGAATATATTTTTGTCGGTCTATGTATGTGCCCTTGAGCTTGCGTTTGGGTGAGTGGAAGGGGTGTCCGTATGAAAACCCCCTTCTTACGAAAACACCAGCAATCTCTGGCGTTTGGCACGTTCAAGCCTCTATAGTCGCCATGGCATAAAGATTCAAATGTAAGCGTTAGGCAGCGGCAGCCTAGAGGTATTGGGGTTTAGGTTTTTCCCCGCTCACAAGACATTTGTATGTGACAGTGTGGAGGAAGTGAGTCGTATCTTCTCTGTCAATACATCCGTGCTCATCACAATTACTGGAATAAATAGATCTGAACAACACGAATACTAGTAAGTGTCAGCACGATTCGGTGAATAGTGGCTGCACGTAGACCCCAACTCGGACCTTGGTCAATCCTTCCAGGATTGACTGAAACGTAATCAGTAGTCGTTCTCGTATTTACAAGTGGGTCGGTTGTAGTGGAGAACGCTGCATGTATGCATACGTACCGTACAAGTAACCTCTGCTGCAGGAGTATGCTATCGTTAGTAGGGCCCAGACTCTACTCGTGGGCCCGGGCCGAGCGGTGTCGGTGAGTCACCTACGCCCTTAACGTCACCGCATCGATTCCCAATATAAGGTGACTTGCGGAAATAGCTGCGGACTACGTTTCCGGACGTGTCTCCACTTACGTCCTGCAGCTATCAAATGGTACTGGCATGAGATCTCTCCTCGCGCAGGAGTGCTAGCATACACAGGCTCCCGGAATTCGATACCGCTGCCGGAAGTAGATGAAGGACCAGGTTATATACGCACCAGGCAGGTAGTAGTCATATCTGGAACTCACCACGGTAGGGGTGAGCACACTCAGGACGAATCACAACAACGACGGAACGTTGACAGGCGTGTGGGATTGAACAACCGAGCGTACGCTCTGATGCAAGATGATTGAGAGAGAGAGAGAAAGAGGGAAAAGAAGAGATGCCCTGTACCCCCAGGATCCAAACAGTACAACACAGCAGGAGGGATCCACATGCCCAGACAAGGGCGCGACAGGAGACGTGATCTAGTGTGAAGCGATAGCGTGAGCGCAGGTGGTGCGTGAGTGTGACAAGCGGTAAGTGTACGCTTACAATATCCTACAACTATAGACCAAAAACTTCGCGTATGAACGGGGTGTAGTCGAGGTTTTCAGCTTCTTTGTCCCTATCGCCGAGGACAAGGCGTCGAGTGTTGTATTGCTGCGTCCGAGTACAACTCTTGTAGGTGAATGTGAATTCTTCCACGACCATTACTAGCCGAAGTTTCTCTCGCACTGAAGCCAACTTCAGCGCGTTTTCGAAACCGATACGACGCCCTTCTTCTATACTGATCGGTGTGGGTCTTTTGGCTAGCGCCAGAAAAGCGGGGAGTAGCCACTCTCTGATGTTGTACTGCAAAGCGAGCACCACTTTGTCTATGGGGTCGACCAGCTCGGAAGGAATATCTAAATGTTGAATGGCAGCATTACGCAACCCGACGAACTCCCACATCGCAGACAACTTGAGGACCGAGATCCATTGGTCGCAGTCCAAGTCCAAACCTCTATTTGTCCCATGTTTTCTGGTGCATGGCACGAACGTCAAGTACGGGTATAAACTACGTGACTGCACACACTGACCTGTGCATGAGGGCTCGCAACAAACTCTCAAATTCCTTCTTAGAAATGCCTTGCAGAATCACGTGGCACGTATCACTCTGACCTTCAACTGTCTCGGATTCACCTCGGGGGAGTAGAAACATGTCCCTGAAGACAGTGGACTCGGCCTCTAACGGCTCCCTGGAAATCCGGAACAGCGAATCCTCTACCTAGTAGAGTGGCGCGTTAGAATATGAGAACAGAAGGCAGAAGCGAGACGCACGAGGAAGGTAATTGTGTGAGTATAAAATTCTGAGTGCTTTGAGTAGCTACTAGCTGTAGTTGAATCGGTGCTGTCAGACATGGGAGAAACGACCTGGGTGTTGAACGTCCGAGTCCAGCGAGGCGTACAGACGGTATCGAGTGGTGGTCCACACGTGAACTGAACACCCTAGGATTGTGGCAGACTCAAGATCATCACACGAGCTTACCATGCGCCGTGCATGGCTAATCGTGTCAGGGAAAAATAGGGGCTTCGCCTGAGGTCAGTGTCTTGTTCGAAGTCCGAGATCCTACACTCATGCAAACCTTCCCACTGCCTTCTGTGTGACGCTCTACATAGATCCTTGAAGGTACGACCAGTCGTATGTTAGCACCTGATTTATGGACTGTCCACAGTTCCGAATGTCGACCGAGTACACCGCGACATTAGACATGTTTATGTAGACAACAAAAGGGTGAGCATTCCCCAGCTCGTTACGCTGAATATCAGCGTGTTTCCAGTGACTTACTGTAATCGCAAAATCCAGGTCTCTTCTTCATTACCCAATGCTTCCACCGTGTTGCTCATCATGTTGAACAGATTTTCTGTGACTTGTAGTTTGTATCTTGGGCGAACAGTAGGCGAGCTTGCAGGCGACCGCAGGTCAGCAGTTGACCGCGAGTTCGCCTTACTGCACCGGTACCCATATAATGCACAGAGCTAATGCTCGTAATTCCTGGTGATTACAGTGGTGAGCTCCTCGTAAGTGGGACGACGGTCTTGTAATACTTGTTAGCGGCAATCTTGATGCTTATTATACACTTGGCTGGATTTTTTTTAGAGACGCTTCGTACTAGTGAGGTTGACAAAATACACGACATTATAATTAGCAAAACGAGAGTCACATACTCGGTATTCAATCTCAATATACATATAAGGCGGTTTAACAACTAGAAAATGGACAATCTTCACAAGTCTCTTTCCCCTACGGTTAAGCAGCTGCATCCATACTAAATTATGCACGATAGAAAGTTCCTCCCCAGGTTTCGTGTAGAGTTTGCATCCTCAGTGCGTTCTAGTACCTAATTAGATAGATAGACGCTACTAGTGTTTTGCATACCTGGGCTCCTGGAATTCGATACCACTGCCGGGAGATTTGATGCATAGATAAGGGACCACATTACGTACACACCAATGAGGCAGTAGTCGTATCCAACGACTATAGGTCGAAAGCTTTGCGTATGAACAGAGTATAGTCAAGGTTTTCAGCTTTTTGGTCCCTGTCGCCGACGACAAGGTATTGAGTGTTGTACTGGTGGAGAGCCCCGGGGTAGTACGTGCATGTGAATTGCTCCACAACCGTCTCCAGCCGAAATTTCTCTCGCACTGAAGCCAACTTCAGTGCGTCTTCGAACCCAATACGACGCCCTTCTTCTATGCTGATTGGAGCGGATCTTCGTGCGAGTACTAGCAGAGCAGGGAGTAACCACTTTTCAATGTTGTATTGTAAAGCCAGCTCCGCCTTGCTTATGGGGTCAAGAGGTCGTAGAGGATGATCCAAGTATCTGATTGCAGCATTACGCAGCCCAGTGAACTCCCACATCGTCGATAACTTGAGGACTGAGACCCGTTGGTCGTAGTCCAAATCTAAGCCCCTGTTTGTTCCATGTTGTCTGGTGTGAGAGAACAAGTGTTAAATATGGATGGAGACTCGGCACCCACACTGACCTGTACATGAGGGCACGTAGTAAACTTTCAAATTCCTTCTTGGAAACGCCTCGCAGGACCACGGGACAGGTATCATTCTGCCCCTCGACTGTCCCAGATTCACCTTGCGGGAGTAGAAACATGTCCCTGAAGACAGTGGACTCAGCCTCTAATGGCTCCCTGGAAATCCGGAACAGACAGCCCTCCACCTAGTAGAGGGGTTTGTTAGAAGATGAGAACAGATGGCAGAAGCGAGGCGTGCGAGGAAAGTGACTGTTTGAGTATAAAATTCCGGGTACTCTGAGTAACTACTATTGGAAACGGTGCTACCGGACATGAGGGAAATGATTTGGGTGGTGGATGCGCAGGCAAAAGTGGGGGGTTTTGCCGGTGAGTAGTCAAGTTGTTCGAACTCTGCGATCCCGCGTATATGCAAACCTCTCTGCTGTGCTCAACCCTCAACGCAGGCCTTGATTTAGGTACGTTCAGCCGCGTCTTGGTGCCTGATTTATCATCTGGCCGCAATACCAGGAATGAAGGTAGTTCATTGTGTCAACTCCCTGGGCGCATCGCGTCATCCTCCATTTCTATGTACACCAGCAAGGGGTGAGTATTTTCCCGGTCCATGAGGCTGAATATCAGCCGCGTGTTCCAGGAACTTAGACGATCGCGGAACTCGTACATTCTCAAATTCAAATATCCTCCGTGCACAGTGCTTGTAATACCATCCTATAATGTTGCTCATCCTATCGAACAGACGCGCTGTGACTTGTCCTTGCCTGCATAGGCATGGGCGAACGGAAGATACTGCCAGACGTGAACCTGAGGGTGAGCTACGGTACCGACCTGACGCGGGGAGCCGACGCTCGTAAGCCTGGTGAACTCATCAGCAGTTCTTCATCGTACTTGATAAGTATACAGGACGAAAATGTTGTTGCACTTACATAGGTATATCAGCACCAATATTGCGATGACCCTGTGTGGACTCGAAACCCCTGGGATTTGAGAGACAGTCCGGGTCGTAAGGTTGGAGTGGTCGAGTCGCAACTATGCGTACATTAGCGAATCGAAGGTCTTACGGGCGGTATAGCAACGGGTCAATGACATTCTCGGCCCTCCAGATCGCCTCCAGTCTCCCTTTCATTGATGTGACGTTCACGCTCGTGAGATCGTTGCCCGTGCACTCTCCAAGATAGCGGACTATTTTGGAGCTGATGTCATTCTTCTTGACGGCTCGCTCGACCACAAGAAGCTTGGTCCCATAGTATTCAATGGCGAGATAAACGGACGAAGCTGAGCTGGACAATGCACCCTGATGGAACGCGCGTGATTCTATCGAATACACTTGGGTGTTGGAAGCGGTGAGAACGTACATGTATCGTTGACGTTCCACTTCTCATTGAAGGCAGTCTCTGGAAATGGGTGGGCAGGTGCATCATACATTTTCACTACGTCTTTTGCATATTTGCGTTCAGCTCCATGTAGCAAATGCACAGTTTACAAGCTCACCCAGAGAACGCGTGAGCTCCTTAGCTACCGATCGATAACGTCCAAAATCGCCTATGAAAATATCCTCTGGATCACATTCCGAGCTGGAAGATCAGGTCCGACCATACTTGAAGCGGTTGGAACACACGGACGGTCGAACACGGGTCATTAGTTGGTTCGAGTGGGCTTCATAGCATTACCTGCCAACAAATACGGATAAATAACGCAAGGTTGATACAACGATTTTGGGGCATTCTTTGGCACTTACAAGGAAGAGCTGTGACGCACTCTGCTTTCGGTCACTTCATGGGTTCTAGACAGTCTCCTACATAACACCTCGTTCCTCTCGGCGAAATTTGGGCCTTATGCGATCTCTCCTCCATAAAGAGTCCTAAAATCAAGTAGTGACCCACACAACCATCCAGAACTTGGCCAGGTCAGCAAGTTCGCGCCACTTACTACCATGCACTGCAGTTGCTAGCGCAGTAGAGTCGAAAAAGTCATCACGCCACAATTTAGTCCCGTTTTTGAAACTCACGACCCACTTTTGGGTGCCTGTGTAGCTAATAGACAGAAATGGAAACGCTTGACGGTTGCATTTGCATGGATCATTTCAAGGAAGCTAGCAAGGCAGGCAGGCTGATTGAATCACATCAGACCGTCAGGAGGCGTGCAAGCAGCATATGTACATGCTCAATATGTGTACGTGAAAAGAGTGCCCATTCAAGTCAATATCTAAAAGGGTACGTCTGCGATGGGCCACTCACCGTTAATCTCATGGCCAGTAGAACAACATATGCTCCTGAGCCCTCCAAGCATCCAGAGCTTTACATGGACACGATCACGTTCCTAGTATGCGTCTCTCGTAGAGCCCTTGTGTCATTCTCACCCTTCAATTAGGCGGAAAATTGTTTAAGGTTCCTCGGAAGCCATTAGAAGAGGAATCGACAGTCTTCAGAGACATGTTTCTTCTCCCACAATCCGAAAATGAGATGATGGAGGGCCAGGATGATGCTGGACCAGTAGTCTTGCACGGCGTTTCCAAGGATGATTTTGAACGCCTGTTGAAAGTTCTATTATGCAGGTAGCTAGCTCCATGTCCGGTTTTCAGCTTAGTGTATGGCATGCTGACCATGAATTATCCACACCAGAGCGTTTGGGCCAAATTTGGACCTACCACTTGGCCTCACCAGACAATGGATATCTGTCCTCAAGTTGTCCACGATGTGGGAATTTACAAACCTTCGCATGACAGCCATGTGTTGGCTGGATAACGATGCGACTCTTGACCACGTTGAAAAGATTGTGCTTGCCACGCAATATGGCATCAAGCAATGGCTACTGCCTTCTCTTTTCGCGTTGGCCCAGAGACCTGATCCGATCAGTGTTGAGGAAGGCACACGTCTAGGTATTGAAACTGCATTGAAGTTGGCATCAGTGCGAGAGCAACTGAAGCTGGAGAGCGTGTATGGGTATGACGCCAAGGGGGGTTCTGAGCTTCTACAGAAGGTCTTCGAGCTATAGCTGTAGAGCTTCGGTACATATGTGAAACAACATGTTTGAACGGTGAACAAGGTGATTGCCATCTGTGACAGCCTTGTTCCATATTCCCTAACCTCATTTAATCATATATACAGGTACCGCAAACTGCACGACAAAGTTGTTTCGTATTGTGCTACAATACCTGTCCTCGTCGTGACATGGTGTCATCTGATTCACCGACATCTCATCGGAAGAAGAAACACCAATACTCTCCTCGAGATACACAACAAATTTGTCTGCAATGATCTGCACTCCAACCTACCGCTCCCTTCTCCATCGTAATCACCTTATGCAACGTCACAAACTGTCTCTTCAGCCTCCGCAGCTCCGACAGTGTCACATTATGCGGGGTAAGGCTTATACGGACTTTCCGCCGGAGGGTAGAGCGATGGTGGTCATGCCGCCAGGAGACCCAGAGGTGGCCAGTTCAGAGATGAGGGCGGTGACAATCAAAGTGGTAGTGTATTCGAGCTTACGCAGGGCGTCAGTTGGGGCTTCTGCCACTCGTAGTAGAGCGATGTTAGAATGGAGGTCCCCTCATTACCGTGTCATGGACAGATGAGGACAGACCAGCAGACGGCATCTGGAGAGTGATAACTGAAGGCCCAACACGGGAACACAAGCTGTCTGTCTTTCACCATACTGCACACACTACATAATAGTCCCATCGGACCATCGAAGAGGGATCTTTATAGCGCTGTACCAGATTCGCAAGGCAAGTAACGTGAAGTTAGCTTGTACATAACGTGGAAGAGGTCGATGGCGCATGTCACTGGGGGCATGTGCATGTGCATTTCCATCCGTGCGTTCGCTGTTGCATTGCTTGCGTAGATCGAGAGTAGCGAGCAATACACCCAAGCCTACCCCAGTCAGCCGCGGTAGAACATGGAATGAGGATGCATTGGACGCTCACCATACAGACCCGATCGTTGATCTCCCTCGCAGCGCGATACATCCAATGAAATCTCCTCATATAGTTCAACGAATCAACGATGTCAATCTTGTTCTGAGCCAGGTTGCGTTGGACAACCGTGAAGAGCGCTCCGCGAATTGGTTTTCCCGTACACCACGTCCCCTTCATTGTCTCTTCGGTATATGTCATCTCCAGTCACGGCATACCATTGTAAGACAACCCGTCAATGTTGTTGGAAAGGACAACGACACACTGGTCCTGTATAGGATCGTCTACCGGCGAGACTGTGGTTTGGCCTGGGGCTACGGTTGACCAACTTGACAGTGCACTTCGCAGCTGTATCCATACTAGATCACACTTGCGGGCAATGGAACGTGTCTCCTTGCCATTCTCAGCGTATTCTTGTACCTAAATAGACACAGCTAAGTGAGGGAGGCTAGCTGGACCCCTGGAATTCGGTACCGTGAACTGGAAGTAGAAATATAGACGAGAGACCGCGTTACATATGTACATCCACACCACATAGCTAGTAGTCATATCCAACTGACTATAGACCAAAAACTTTGCGTATAAACGGAGTGTAGTCGAGGTTTTCAGCGTCTTTGTCCCTATCACCGAGGGCAACGTATCCAATGTTGCATTGATGAATGGCATGCCGAGTTGAGCCACCGTCGTGGTAGATGTATGGGAATTCTTCCACGGCCGTCTCCAGCCGAAGTTTCTCCCTCACCGAAGCCAACTTCAGTGCGTTTTCGAAACCAATACGACGCCCTTCCTCTATGCTGATCGGAGCGGATCTTCGCGCGAGCACCAGCAGAGCCGAGAGTAACCACTCTTGGATATTGTATTGTAAAGCCAATTCCACTTTGGTTATGGGGTCAAGAGGCCGGAGAGGACAATCCAAGTATTCGATGGCGGCGTTACGCAACCCAGTGAACTCCCACGTCGTCGATAACTTGAGGACTGACATCCATTGGTCGTAGTCCAAATCCGAGCCCTTGTTTGTTCCATGTCGTCTGCACGCAAAGGAGCAAGTGTCAAATGCAGATGGAGACTTGGCACGCACACTGACTTGTACATGAGGGCCCGTAGTAAGCTTTCAAATTCCTTCTTGGAAATGCCCCGCAGGACCACGGGACTCCGACCGTAAACTCTCTTTGATTCACCTTAGGGGAGTAGAAACGCGTCCCTGAAGACAGTAGACTCAGCCTCTAACGGCTCCCTGGGAGTCCGGAATAGACAATCCTCCACCTAACAGAGGCGTGTTTTGGAAGACAAGAACAGAAGGCAGAAATGAGACATACGAGGAAGGTGACTGTGTGAGTATAAAATTCCAAGGGCTTTGAGTAGCTAGTATTATTTGAAACGGTGCTATCGGACATGAGAGAAACGACTTGGGTGGTGGAATGCAAGGAGAGCGGAGCTTCACCGGTAAGTAGTCAAGTTGTTCGAAGTCGGAGATCCCGTATATATGCAATCCTCTGTTGTGCTCTGCGGTCGACACCTAACACAGGCCCTCGGTTCAATGTACGTTTACCTGCTTCTTAGCATCTGATTTATCATCTGACCGCAATACCAGCGATGGAGGTAGTGCGCAGTGTCAACTGGGTGCACTGCGCCATCCACAGTTCTATGTAGACCAGAAAAGGTGAGTGTTTCCCCGGTCGACGACGCTGGATATGACCCGCGTGTTCCGGGCACTTACACGATCGCGGAACTCGTACGTTCTCCAATTCAAATATCCTCTACGTACGGTGTTTGCAACACCATCCACAGTGTTGCTCATCCTGTCGAACAGATGCGCTGTGACTTGTCCTTGCCTGCATAATCTTGGGCGAACAGATGCTGCTACCCATACACTGACTGTATCATAAACTGATATACTAATGCAGATATAACGTCGCGTCTGACTCGAAACCGCTGGGCTTTTGAGAGATGCTTCGAGTACCAGTGGAGGTTGGAGTGATCGAGTCGCACGTGTGCGTACGTTAACAAAACGAAAGTTCCAAGGATACTACCAGCATCGATGCTCAGTGTCCATTATCAATATGTAAGTACTATTGATCCACTGTTATCCTTCGTGTTGGTCTTTCGTCTCACGGGCGGTATAGCAACTGGTAAATCGATGGTCTCCGCCCTCCTGAGCGCTTCTTATATCCCTGTTACTGGTTCCAGTATTCTCGCCTGCGGGATCGTTACAACACGCGTGATCCTGTGGAATATACTTGGGTGCCGGATGCGAGGAGAACGTAAGTGTCATCGACGTACCGATTCTTATTGAGGGCTTCTGATAACGTCGAAAACTCGCAATGCAAATATCCTCGTTAGTAATTCTAGGTCAAATTTCGAGCTGGAAGACTAGGTCTGACTATGCTTGAAGCAGTTGGAGCACACTGACGATCGAACAAGGGTTGCTAGTTCGGTTCTTCCTTCCGGAATTTTGGGCTGTTGTCTGTTGCACACTCTTGTTACATATGGCGCTGTGCGATAAACGGACGAGGGGGAAGATGAGATGTGGATTATCTGGGCTTCATCTTGCTTTCCAACAAATACGGATAAGTGACGTAAAGTCAGTTGATGCAAGGAACTTTTGTGCATCCTTTCACGATTACATGGATGTGGAGCTGCGAAGTCTGCTATTGTAACTTCATGGGTTCTGCCAGCTTCCTGATACATAGGGAATTTGTTCCTCTGGACGACATTATCAATACTGCTCTGCAACGGGTCCTAAAATCAAGCAGTGATCCGCACAACTACCCGGGACAAAGAATGTACTAACGACCCTCGGGTCAAGTTGAAACTGAAGAGGACAGGCGGGCCGATCAAATCGCATTGGACCGTCAGAAAGTGTGTGTGGAGCTTTCATGCAACATGCCCAATACACATGGAAAGTGTATCCATTCAAATCAATGGAACACTTGCCATTGGTCTCAGTGACCAGCAGTACAATGTCCTCTCCCAAGCATCCAAAGCATCTGGAGCTTTACATTACCACACACATAGTGTAGTCACATTTAGTCACAACACATGGGCAGCCTGTGCACCAAAACACCAACACTCATATAGACCCTGAGTGGGCCCACCTAAATAGATTAGCCAGTACACATGGACAGGCCCAAGGGATTAAAGTGAGAGCAACACATGTATGGGCCTGTAAGTGCATTACCACAACATATGGGAGGGCCCATGGTGGGTAAGGATGTTGAAACATTTAGATGGGCCCATGACCAATTAAGTATACTGAGTTGCTGTAAGACATGGATGGGCCCATCCTGGTAGGTTACCCCCCTGTTGCAACATCAAGGTGGGCCTGCCTATCATAACATGGAGAGGGTCACAACATAAGGATGGGCCCATCTATGATTAGGATACAAAGTTGGCAACATATGGATGGGCCTGGGAGTAATATCATTTATGGTGTTGCAACATCTAGACAGGCCCATTCATAACAAGCTGTACCCCTGTCACAACATAAAGACAGGCCTGTCAGTAATGTCATTTCATAATGTCACAACATATAGACAGGCCTGTTGACAGTAAGATGTACCACTGTTGAAACATAAAGATGGGCCCATCACTAGTATCGTTTATTAGAGTCACAACATAAGGTTGGGCCTGTCGGTAGTATTATGCAACATATGGATGGGCCTGTCCACAGTAAGATGTACCTCTGACGAGACATAAAGACAGGCCCATCAGTAATCTCATGTATAGCCTCACAACATGTGGGCAGGCCCTTCAGTAGTATTACTTATATTGTCACAACATATGGGTGGGCCCAGCCCCAGTAAGATGTACCCTGTCAAAACATAAAGACAGGCCTGTCACTAATATCATTTAATAGAGTCACAACATATGGATGGGCCCTTCAGTAATATTATTTATATTGTCACAACATAGAGACAGGCCTGTCAGTAATCTCATGTATAGCATCACAACATATGGGTGGGCCCAGCCCCAGCAAGATGTACCCTATTGAAACATAAAGCTGGGCCCATCACTAATATCATTTAATAGAGTCACAACATATGGATGGGCCCTTCAGAGTCCATATGGTATGTTCACATAGTCTCGCTACACAGTTGCTTGCTGGCTTTGGTATTTTACTTTGTTTGTGATCCTGGCAAGCCACCACTCTGCCATGCTGTGGAGTTTGTATTTTGAACTGCTCCAACAATGATGGATAGTGAACCCCTGGAACCCCTCCTACCGATTATCGCAGCACTAGTGACGCTCGTCGGTGAGTCTTGCCTCAAGCTAGTGACTGAAGATATGCCCTCTGATAAGGATCAATCCAACTGGACTGAGGAAGAGAAAGAGGCCCTTGTCACTTTCCTTGTTGATGAGAAAATCGCTGGCAAGATGGGTGATGGGTTGTTCAAGTCTGCCACTTGGAGTGCAGCTGCTGCCCACATAAACAAGAAATTCCCAAAACAAAAAGGTGTGATGAAGACCTCTGATATGTGCAGAGGGAAGCTCAGTAATGTGAGTATCCTGTTCCCTCCCCAGCGCCTGTGTAGCCTCATTGATCATTATTGGTACAGCTCAAATCCATACTGAGGGATATCAACTTATGGTGAGGTCGTTCTGGAAAGCATTGGGATAATGAAAATGGGGTGAATATTATCTCTGAGAGTGAGGAAAGTGACTTCAAGGAGTGGTTAGTGGTATGTGTCCATCATCTTGGGTCCATCGCTTGACATTGATAACATCCATCAACAGGGCTGACCTGGGAATGCTATGCACCAGTTTAAAAATGTCAGTTGGCCCCTGCTTACAGCGATGGAGTCACTGTTTCCAAATGACCAAGCCCATGGTATGCATGCCTACCATCCTATGACTTCTGTGGCATTTGTATCTGGTGCCAGTGGTCCTGGCCTCTCCATAAACCTGTCTAGCCATACCTCCAGTGATCCAGTGATGACCCCATCCACGTCCTCTGCCACTTTACAGTTCATTACTCCTCAGGTTGGAAGCTCTGCCAGCATCATTGAAGATGATGCAATCGATCAAATGTCTGTCAACAAGGTAGCTCCTGCTAACAGAATGAATGTGCAGTCCCAGCTATTTTCAACACAATTTAATCCACCCATGCTGACTCTTGCTTCCCCTACAACGTTACTTAGCTCATATCCTCCCTCAACTACCAGCTCTATGCCATCAAGTAGGAAGCATACACATGAGGATGCCAACCCTGCTTCACCCTCTGCTGAAATTCCATTGGCGCAAGCTGTGCTCCAGTCGCTCTCTATCAAGGATGATGCAGAATGCTCTTCAAAGAAGTCAAAGAAGAGCAAAGAAACATCCATGCCCACTTTACTCATTGGTGTACAGGGTTCCCTTTCATACCTTGGGTCTGTTATCAGTTCATCATCTGCAGTTGCTGCACAGCAAAGGCATACTGAGTGTATGCATGCCACTGTGGAGATGCTTGCATGGCAAGATGACAACCTTCCCCTGTTAGCTAAGACGGCCCTGATGGAAGCATTCCATATGGATGGGGGGGCAATTGATTTATACCTCATGTTGGATGATAAAACCCTTTGTAGAAACTGGATTCAGACTTGTCTTCGTAACCAGAAACTCATTCCAGATGACCTTGTGTTGTAGTACCTCCATCATGTTTGTATCCCTGCTTGCAATTTATCTGACCTGGTGTTTTGTTATGCAAAGAATGATCCAGAGATATTCATTTAGAAAGTGAGAAAAGTGTACGTAAAACAATCTCTATGATCAAGTTTGCCCTCACTTCCACAGATACTCCTGGTAGTCATGCCACATTGCCTCAGCAATAGAATCGTGCAATGCCCTGGCTGATAATTCTTGAGGGTCATTGTCTCCCTCATCATCCCCTGATAGCACACTTTCTTCTTGCTTGATGTTGCCAACTTCCCCAGTACCCCCATCACCTCAGCTATCCCCCTCCGGCATTTCTCCATCAGCATCTGGATCCCATTTGTGTGACATAATTAAATTGTGGATAATGCATAGGGAGACAGGAATGAGTGCCTGGATCTCAATAGGATATTCTGGAGGGAGAAGAAGAATTTGGAAACAACACTTGATGACACCAAAGATTCGTTTGACAAC